TTCGAGTAATAATAAAGAAAAAAAAATAAAGTATGAACTTATTGTGATTTTTTGAATGGATTTAAAGTAGATATCTAGATTATTAATTTTCATTGCAGCGTTACACGTTCCTCTCTCACTCTCAATGTCTGAAATATGATTGATTTTTTAAATATCAGAATTGGAATTCAATTGATCGTAATGCTAATTCTTTTAATATGTAATGGGCGATATATAACTATCTGGAATCAGAAAAACCAAAAAGAAGAAAATGGAAGAAAATGTATGTATATACGATTTTTTTTTATTTTTACTGAAGACTCCAGCTAACATAATATCCGCGATTTTTTTTTTCATAGTCTGAAAAGAGGCTGTAAATTTGAGGAAATAAAGTTAATCTGCAGAACAATTTTTTCACCATGGAAAATAACACAAAATCTATGTTTCGTTTTCTCGGAAAACTCTTTTAAAACTACAAAGGAAAGTAACCAAGTAGTAATGACGACCGTTTAAAAACAACACTCTTATATTTTTTTTTAGTTCAACAGTGTTGTACTGTCAGTATTTCATTCAATACAATTGCTGCAAACGTTTAATGGAATACACAGCTGCCGTCATTTCTAAGATAAAAATTCTAATGTAATGAAGTTATACCTTTGCTTCTGTTTGATTGGCCTTGATTCTGTATTCGCAAATGAACAACTACGTATCGCATTCTCTTTCTTCTGCATGAATTGCTTTGAGGAAAAGATAGAAAAGATTTTGTTAGAGATATGCAGCCAGCAGTAGAATGCTGTTCAGTCATTGAGAAGCCAACTGGTTTCTTCAGTAAGAAAAGAAAAGTAAAATATCTGTTTTAAAAGTATCCATCAAAATGAATTGAAATGATATAAAATAAATGGATTGCAAGCAGATAAGCTTTAAGAAGTCATCAATAAACTTTTTCCGAACTGTTTGTCTGACGGTGGGAAATAGCTAAAAACTCCAGGAAGATAATAAATGAACGAAGAGAGTCTGACTTTGATGGCTGCAGTCACTGTCACTTACTATTTTCCAACGTTTCCTTAATGATATTAATGGAATACACTTGTATACATGCGTACATATGTGTGCAGTTTCGTAGATACGCTCGTATAATGTTTAGTACTAGCTCTTATATTGGGCGTTTCATGGGAAACTGCGAGACGCGAAGATATGTGAAATGAGCAAATAGTCAATAAAATAATATATCAATTTTATTCTTCTCTTCTCCGTATTCGTCTCTCTTTCTTGGATTAAAATTTCCATATTCATCTTGTATAATTAACGAGACCTTAGAATAGATAAATTCGCCTTCATTATAAAATAATAAATGATTGGTCATTTTTGAATTGTGATTCATACAGAGCTACCTTTCACTTTCCAGCAGTGATGAAACTCAGGTACTCGGGTGTAAGGCATTTGTATGAGAGTACCGTTAAATTTTGCATATGTTAAAACGGATATATTTTATCCCACAATTAGTTTCATTATTTGCTGTTTGCTGTTGTAGTGCTTGTGTAGTTGGCCTCGGCAAATATTTAACACATTATATAATTACCATTGTTTCATTTAATGTTGTTCTTCTTCTCTTTAAAAATACCTACATATTTAATAATATAATATTGTTTTATGTTCGTGAAAACTGTACGATTCCATTGTGAATAATCCTTTTTTACTCATATTAAAATAATAAATACACAAACGTTAAAAAATATGCGTATAATATTTGCCACGTAAACCGATTAAGATAACTTTTTTGAGGTTATCTCCTGCGGCAGTGAATACATTACATTCTTTTTTTGTTCTCGAAAAACCGCATAAATTACGACGCTTAAAATTTTAATACATAAATGGCAATGATTTTGTGAGTGCTCACATAAAATCCGCGAAGCATAAAAAATATTATTTGTCTGCGGTATAATCACACAGCACTTATTTTAATTACCTATTGCCGTACAGGGAGAACAGAAGAGAGGGCAAATAAGAGCAAATCATTTCTAAGCAAAATTTAATACAAACTCGTTACTTTGCTTTGCGCTCTTAGATCCTGCTTATATGCATACGTAGTCAGTAATAATAAAGATTTAAACAGTTAATTGTAATTGTGATTTATTCAATCTTTGCTCTTTCCACTCATCCATGATCGGGCAGTGGTTTAAATTTCCAGGCGCTGGAAACTTTTATTCTCTGGCTCTCAAAAGTATTTTATGACTTTAAAAGATACTGATGTATTGCTATGTGGTCATAGTGCACTTTCCTAGGTCTCATTTATTATTTATTAAATATAATTTAAAAAAAAAGAAATTGATGGAGAATGGATCAAATAAAATGTCTTCCCAGACGATAACTGTCGACTTCACAAATTAAGATTAATTTCGAAAAGTAATATGTCTGTCGAGAAGCAAAGAGTCCTAAGGTCGAGTATTGTCCACGAATTCATTATTATTTGATATTAAGCCCACATATCGGTCACACAATTGGATTGATATCGTAAATATTAGTTTCGTATTCAATTACCATAGTGTAAATTATCCGATTTGTGCCAAATATGCCCCGATTCGCTCATTAAAATTTCGCCATTTTGAGGAAAATATTATTACGCCTCTCTCATGGCAACCCTTGTCCTTATTGGCAAAAAATTGATGCAATAGACTCCTTAGCCAGCCGTTAGTGGCCCCCTTGTCATCACCAGACACCATTCACACCTGAAAATGGACGATTTTCTTACGATTCAACAGCTTTTATCAGAAATTTGACAGAAAATCGGTCCATGAGGTTTCCAGCCTTTTTCAAGTTGTTTGAATTTACTTTTTGTGCAATATTAGTTATAGCGTTTTCTCTTTGCTGGCGCCCATCTTTGACATCCGCTCAAACACTATTGCATTAAGTGAGCAACACTTCGTCCGTCAAGTATCATACATATTGTACAAAATATCAAAACAGTTGTAAACAAGAAATATAATACTTAACGATAGCTAGAAGAGAATCGAGTTTTCCTGTGCCTGACGAAATTAAATTTTTGGTCTAATTTTTCCTCTAGTTATCGCAATACTCAATTCGTGTCGCAATCTCGTACATATACATACATACATACAAACACATGTACAGGCATATAAAACAACTTTTATTGTTACATTTGATTTTCGTACCTTGTTTGTTGAATTTGATTTTATTTTTGTTAATTTGTTATTTGCAATATTTGGGTAGAACATTTTTTTAAATCGTTTTGTAGTTGTATTGATCAAACAAATATTACCAGAATAGCTTTGGGCGGCACGAACGCCAGCAATCGCAGGTTGCTGTTGGTAAAAGTGTGGAGCATACAAGCACTATGCATATATAATAGATATATATTAATAGATTTTGTTAGGCTCTTACATCGCAGGATTGTTGCAGTGTACGGTGGGTTGAATTGATTAAAAAATTTATGAGTCTCATGATGGTTATTAGATGTTGATGATGCATGATAATCAAATATGTTGCATGATAATTTATCAATGAATTTAATTGCTAAAACTCTTAAAAATATTAATTAAAAGATTAAATATTGCTATGAATAGATCGAAATTAACTTTAATTTGAGAATTTAATGTATTTAATTTTTTGAATTCTCGACGGCACGTATTTCATAACAACATATTTATTTACAATATCGTTGAAGAAAAATGTTAATGTTTAACATACTAAAATATATAAAAATATATAAATATTTTTGGATTACATTAATGCCGCCTACAGCATAATATGCCTTTGGATTTCCTGCCGAAAATACCTCTGTTAAACGATTTATCTTTTATCGACAATGAAGCAGAAAATTATATTGCAGAAATTGTGGCAACATTGTCAAGCAGTCAATCAAATTTACTGCCGGTAATAACAAATGGAGAAGTCACTGCTTATACCCCTTGGATATCAAATGAAAGGAAGCAAAAATTGCCATTTTCCTGCACTTGCATTGTTAGTGTATACACACACAGTTTATAGAAAAACGAAAATGCATTTATTTGCAGAAATACAATGTATTAGTGATGTATAGTTTATTGCATATTTCCATAAATAGAACTATTGCAATTACTGATATATGAAACATAGCCATACAACCGTACCATACACATATGTATGTATGCCTAAGTTAATATACATGCTATGTGTGTATTTAGCTTTCGAATAAATAACAATGTAAAAAAGGAAATGAATTTGCATAAAGTGGATTTCAATAGAAATTCAATTATTGTCGCCAGCTTGCTCTAAAAAAATTTATAAAAATCAATTTCTGCAAATAAGTCATTGTTCAGAACGCAGAATACACCATTTGCGTATTTATATACGAATATATGTAAACAAAAACTTGATGCAATTAGTAAACATCCACGTGGCTATGACAATTTTTATCGTTGTTCATAGATTCATATGAACATACATACATACATACATACATATGTGAATTTGAACAAATCTTGCTTCAAAAGAGTGTCCGACGAGAATTTAAATTTTCCGCTCTTTCTATTGTAAATTTCAAGTGCACCTGCTAACATGAATCGTTTTTCAGAGATCAAAATATCATTGATTGTAACTAAAAAAATGTGATAAATTATAGTGCGCATGTTGAAATGATGGGAAATACCTATTAAATAGCTAAATCATTGAAATCAAATAGTGAAATATTTAAACTGTCTCGCAATAAACGCCGAACTTAAAATTAGTATTTATTTATTCTTTTGGAATTTTGTGAAAAAGCATCTAAAATGTTTATATGCAAAATATAATAATAATATGGCAAACCCGTTTTAATTATACATTGATATTGAAAATGTAATTACTATAGTTCTGAAATAACTTCATCAACCAGTCAATTAACAATTTATACCATCGAAAAATAATTTTAGCCAGCGGAGTCTTTGAATGGATCTTCATTTGAAAGTTACGAACATTTTTTAAACATCGAAAATGCTCACATGAATTGTCATAGTATTTATTATTTATAAATAAGTTTCACTTACCGGTCCATATTGCTCGAAATAACTTTTAACATCTTCCAGTGTTGTGGGCGCCGACAGCCCACCCACGAAAATTTTCTTCGTTCGCGTCACCATCTATTAAAAGAAATAGATAAATTTCACAAAATATAAAATATATTGTATAGAAAAAATATGTTTACTACTAAATACAATAGATGAGCTTTGGTTTTACACCCAGCATAATTTTTCTTATAGCGTTGCCCGCTCAGCAGTGCAATTTTATTCAATAAATTTTCTGACTATGCTTTTATTTTACTTTCGTAAATTATTGTACAATTGCCTATTCTTAATTGTTCCCATACCTTATTTTCCCTTCTTCTATTGGCTATTAAACATGCATAATTTTGGTCGCAGGCTTGGTTTTCGCATTCTGGCATATATGCCGAGTTATAAAGATAAAATGCCTATGGTATGTAATGGAATTTACTCTCTTATCATCCAGATCAGGTGTCAGTTTTGAAACGAGCCTAGTGCTCAACTTGCATTCGTTTACATTGCGTAAGCGATTTTTTTTTGGTTTTAACTTTAATTAATTGAATTTTCATATTTTTATTACCAACCACTTTTGAAACATTCCCAGCATAGTGTTTTCAAGCAATTGTTATTAAAATTATGGTAACGGTAATCTGTTTAACAATGAACATAACAAAAATGAAAAATAAACAAGAAAGGCAATGCCGAAGATATCTTACTTTTGAATGTCAATATTATTAGAATTTATGTTTTGAGATTACCAAATTTCAAGATACCAGCTGCTATTTTGAAATATTTTCCATCCAAAACCTTATATGTGAAAGGTCGACATGCTCGTATGTTTTAGCAGTTCCATTTCGATAATTTTCAGAACCAATGTGTAATTCATACGTGCGCAAAACACCAAGCTTACGTGCGTTTTATAAGTAGCCCGAACTTTGCGATTCTGAAAAACGATCTTTTAAATTTGAAAATTCATCTGTTCACCAAGTTTGTGTTGGTATCCCGAAAATCCGGGAGCTAGTTGGACATGGAAGGTATAAAAATATTTTTGAAAGACACTAGTGAAAAAAAGATATAAATTTTGGAAAATTGCATAACTATCATTATGGCTTTCGGAAGTATATATGTAAAATTCATCACAGAATAAATTATGCAAACTAAATTACTTAAATAGTTCACCGAATGTTGTTCAGGGTTCATTGAAATGAGAGACATATGTATCTGTATATATGTATATATGCAAACTTTTGTTTATAGTTGGATCTTTTTAATTCTTCACTTGGTTCTTTCTACGGTGAGTTCCACATACTGCCCTATTCCTTTTTGAGCAACGAGTATGCCCAACCACCTCAACAATATCAAGAGCGTTCATAACTCCCTTGGGAATTGAAAGTTATTGTTTCTTCTCGTGCACTCGAGGATTATGTGGGTCTGTTGAGTTGTGTAAGTGTGTGCTTACGTACATACATATTTTTCGATCTGGTACTCAATGCTTTGGATGTTAACAAACCCAGCAGCGCTATTGAGGGCGTATTTTGTGCTGTTGAAGTGCGCCTTGCGCTGTGCCAACAATAAAATTCATGCAATGTCGTAAAATTAAAACACTTCAGTATCCTTCCAACGAACAAGACGGCGACTCCTACACGCAAAATGCAAAATGCAACAACAGCAGATTCGAGGGTTGCACTGGAGGGATGAATACATATCGGCGCTGTAGGATAGGAGGCTGCAGCAGCAATATCAACGTCACCAACACCATTTGCCGTAACTTCCCTGCACATGGTCGTCTAAGCTACATAAGGATACAGATACAGAGGACCGCCCGTTTCCACTTTGCCAAATAGACAGTGTCAAGTGCAAATGTTGCTGCTTTCGCGAAGCGGGCAAGAGTGCGGGGGGGTGTTTTCGTTGTCTGTTTTGATGCAGAGCACCCGTGGACACAGCTTGCTAGTGACGAGGCGTTACTGTTGTGTTTACTGCACTTTTGCCGCAATACTGCGCCGGGTATCACGGCGGCTGGTGCAGGTCGTAGGGGCGATCGCGGTGTAGGTTGCGAGATACTACCACCTTTATGAAGGCCACTGTCAGGCTGTGCGAAGAATCGCCTCATGCGAACCGTACCAACTCTTGCCCGGCTTCAGTTATATATCTCATTGGACAATTTGGTGGTATGGCTTGCTGGCTCTTATTGAAATTGCAGCGTTGTTAAAAAGCGATTTGGTCCAACGGGGACAACGTACTTGTACTCTGTTGCAACAAATGGCAAAAACACAAACAACCTCAATCGGATGGCAAGCTGGTGTGGCATTACTGTGCAAGTGGCAGCGCTACGCTATCATAACTCATTTCCTCTTGTCTTCAGATTCTTCGCCTCGTGCTCATAATAGATGTTGCTTGCACCAACAAATTGGTTTGGCGCATGTTGCTGCCTTCGCTGTTTTGCCAGAAAATGCGACTAGCAGCTGCTCCTCATGCGTGTGTAAGTATGTAGACACTTTGGCGAGATCTGAGATACGAGTATGTTCAATTCGTTTAGATACCCTCCTGCGCTGCTGACGCTATGAGATGCTATGTAACTTGCTTTTGAAGATGAATGAGCACATCGTCCGTTATCTTCTTAATTTCCGAGCGCACAGTCATCTGGTCACACCGCTTTGGAAACCAGGAAGGTATATTTAACAGTGAAGGGGGGAAAAATGAAAATTCAGCAGTACGAGTATGTATTATATATACCCATACATGTGCACATGGTCCATTTCCAAGCTGCTATTTTTCGCTGCTCAACGTGTATTCTCCTACTATTCTTTTTTAACCATCATTTTTTTAAACATCATGGCTACTTTTTTGTTAAGACTTGAGTAATTGCACTGCCCACTTTGAGTACCGCATTTCGTGGCATAGCTTAGCGTCTGCTGGGGAATTTGTTTAGAAAATTATATTGAGCAAAATTTGAACAGATCGTAAAATTCATTTCATTGCATGCTGATCATTGCCTCAGAGCTCAGCTCAAATCATCGTGAAGAAAAATTCGGATATTAGCTCATACTTATTTTTCCATATTGAAAATACAACTTAATACATAAAATATGATTCCATCTGCATTGTAGCATACTTTTAGGCCCAAGCGCCGCGGCCGCTTGAGAAACGACCAAAATTACTAGGAAGGGAGAGCGATCAAAATAGAAAGAATAAAGTTAAAGTTTATTTGATGTACATACATATATACGTTTAACGACAATTCAGCAGCTGCAGAAAAGTCATTGATTAAATTTTTATAGAATTCGCTTGACACAACCACAGAAAATAGTCCAGCCCAACTCAAGAGGATTTGCTCAATAAAAGATTACTTCAATTAATGGCGTTCTATGGCGTTCCTCATAGTCTATATTATTATGGCCGGTTTTTGGAGAAGTAAGGACCAATGAGTCTCTGTCCATAGAGCACACGAAGCATTGTCTTTTTGAATATGTAACTACGTCTCAACAATGGCTTCTGAATTATCTTCACTCCAAATTTTACCACTTTTTCTTTTTTACGTACCCATTCAACCAAATATGAGCTTCATCGGTGAATAAAATTCTTTTGTGAAAATATGATTCGGTGGCCATGTCCTCGCCTTCACTTCAGGCAAGAGCTGGGTTGTGTAAGCCTGCAAAACAAGATGCTTTCACTACTCCGCTTGTCTTCTTTGGGGCTCTGCTCTACTTTATCAATAACATCTTTGGTGTGCACTGCTGAACAAGCCAAACTGACTACAGATCAAGTACCAGCTGTCAAAAAGACCAACTCCAAAAAATGTTGCCTCATTGAAAACCACACTTCTAAAAAATCTGAAACTGGTAATGACCCAGCTAGCAGTACATTCGGTATACGATATAATTGCTCCTACTGTGAGTGTTTGTGTGTAATTGTCACGTAATTTGACAGAAGCTTTGAGATATCACATCACATCACATTCATGGTTAGTTTTGAGAACTTTTGAAATATTTTTGCTAAGGGTTGTCACGTTCCCTGTCATTTTTACAGTGGAGAAGTGACCTTTGGCTCAGAACAGTTAATGTTTTGGTAAATAATTGCCGATTTCACGGCAGGGGGTTAACTTTAAAAAGTAGGAAAATTGATTCAGCTTATTTTTGTAATAATAAAATAAAAAATTTAGTTTTATTTTAATTAAAATTAAATATCTCGATATTTTAACATTAACTTCCAAATCAAAAATCTTTCAAACTAGATAAAGATTTTAGACACTTGCAAGACTCATGATTACGAAACGACACAATATTTTTAATGTTAGTAGAGCTAGAAAGGAGTAATTAAAGACTATACGGAAAGAGTTATTTCTTTCCCGAATAGAGGCCAACTTGGACGAAATGGAACCTAGATTAACTCTGCCTTAATATTAAAATGGTCAAATATAAGTTTTGCTTTGTATTCTTTTAGTCTCCAACACATGAAAGGAATTTAAGTAAGAAGTCTTTGGATGTTCTTCTTTGCTACATAACTATTTCGAATTGAGATATGAAACATCAATCTTGGCTGATTTGATTGACTAAAAATTTTTCTGTGGGCAAACTCAATCAAGTGTGCTCCACATTTCGAAACTCCCTCTCTACCCGCCCGCCAGCTTAGAGGATACTAATGGTTCTCAAAAGCGAAAATAAAACCAAAAATAAAGGTTAGAAAGCGTGTACTGTAAAAGATAACATTCCAAGAAAAGCTAATTTATATGTGGGACAAAACGGTACTTAAAATCCATTATTCCCCATTCAAACGGAAATGAATGTGTGAATGACGTTCCTTTTCAGTCAATCTCCTTCAAACTTCATTTGGAAGAAAGGAACTTGCGCATTTGCACTAATCCATTCCCTCATCAAAGCCCGAGCGATATTCAGAGCAAAAAAGGACACTTCTTAATACACACTAACCCATTTGAATGGAAGTAATGGCGGCCAAAGGATTGCAAAGCCCGGAAGATGCATGAGCTAAGGATACAAATGAAGTTCTAAATTTATACACATATATATTGTGAATACAACGTGAATTTAATCGGCTGTAGTTGACTGTGTAGAGATACATACACATATGCATACATATACATA